GAGATGCTGTTTTTGTTTTCTCTTGCAGTGTTTAAACTAAAGGGATAAAAAATAATCAAAGTTTGATGATACATTCTTTTACCTCCAGGTCAAATAGCTACTATGGACTGTTCTGGTTCAATTATTAATGTAAAACTATTTTACAGGAATTCTACCACCATGGTTAGTCTCACCTAACATTTAAAAACCTGGTTATCTTTGATATAGCCTCTTCCTTCTTAAATATTCAGCTAAATTTCTGTGCAACAGTTTCTCATGATAAACATATTTTAATTGCTTGTTTTTACTTTTGGAGAATCTCCTATGAAAAATGTTGAAAGCATTCATCAATGATGCTTTGTAGTCCCATGATTAACTCAGAATTCTGGAGAATTTTCTCACAGTTTGGCAGGTACTATTATTATTATTATTTTTTATGTTTTAGAACATTACCCACGGATTTAAAGTGTTCTGATTGATAGAGTGTTTTGTGCACTCCTTTTCAGTCCGACGTTTCTGCAAGAAACGCTGGATTTTGAGTAGTCTCGAAGAATGAGAACTGCCTTGGGAATACAACAAAATGCTATAAGACATATGTGAGGTGAGGTATCTAATAGACAAAGGCTGTTTAGGAATTTGATGGCAGAAAGTATTTTTAAAAGACAGAGAGAGACATTCACAACAGTACCTAAGACACACTTCGTTTCATTGATGAAGAGACAAGACTTCTGATTAGAAATACACAGCAGTACGATTTGTTTCCAGACCTTCTTCACTTGCTTCAGTCCTTTGTTTTTAACATGCATCTCAAGTGTATGTGTTTCTTGGAAACACATACTTTGGAAACAAACACATCTCAAAGGCAATGGTAAAGTTCTTATGATAGTGAATATAAATCAATATTTTGATGACTTGGGGCGTTCAACTTTTGGCCAATTTTTGTATTTCATTAGCCTACAGCGTTACTGTCTTATTTGTGGCTGAAGGACAATTTTGCTTCGGTACCAGTGTCGATTCTCATTTTTGTTTTTGCTGACTTGTGTTTGAATTGGTATTATTCCCAAGGTATGGTTTATTCGCAGGAAGGATGTAAACTCATTCATCCATTCTGTGATGGTCACTTTATATAAGATTTGCAATAATGTATTCTGGAAACCTTCTTACCTGCCATAAATACAGATGAGACCAGTGCTAACCCGTGTGCACACTCTCTGTGAAATCACCTTTACATGTGAAGTTTTCAAAGCTGTGCATCACCCTGCACCAGAAGGGAGGAATACACCGGGCTTAAAATCATCTCTGTTAGCTTTAACTTGTGTCATCTCCTCAAAGGTTCATGTCCATATCCATAAAATGTACATGTTCTATGAATGACTGACCTTATATCGCTATTTTTAAAATAAAATTGTCACGCATGTAAATGAACAGCATGTATTAAGAGGCTATTATTTTAATAATTCTATTTTTGGTTGATGTGAGAGGATGACAAGAATTAGTAAGGAAAATTCTCTCCAAGATTTCGTATTTTAGAGACGGAGGAAATAGATTTGGATGGAATTGGGAAAGCAGGCGAGAGGTTACACTGGGGCTGGGGGGGTGGATGGGGGATTGTGTGATCTTCACCATGATCTTATGCTGTGGATACATTATTAGTAAGGGAACTTAATTTTTACAGTTATTCACTATTTGGGTGGAAAATGGTGTGGGAGAAAGAAAGGAAAAGTAAAACAAAATGTCTCCTAAGTTGAATTCCATACAGTGAACCAGGAAGTGGCTGTTGCTCTTTTCTCCTTGGGGGATCTGAGAACGGCTGACCTGAGAACCCTGGTCTGGGGAGCCGCAGTGAACACGCTGTCGTGTGAGCCAGGGTGGTGGCCAGGCACACAGCTCAGACATCAAAGCTCTGATCTGCAATTCTAGAGCCACGGTTTTCATCTGTAAAACCTGTGGTCATTTCTGAATTTCTCAGGAATAATATTTATTTTACTGACCTCAAAAGATTGTTGTGAAAATAAATGAAGCAAATGAAAAATTGTTGAAGATGTAAAGTTCTAAGCAAATTTCAGTTGCCACTGTTTATTAATAATAATAATTGAAAACCCCTACGGATTGATTAAAAGGATCCACTCTTCCAAAAACCTAAGAATTAGGGAAAAGTCTTTAAAGACTCAATCTACCTTTAGTTTTCAGCAACTTAATTAATTGCATTTTCTTATAATTTTCATTTCATATGTGAAATGTTCTCTATGAACAATTTCTCCTAATTTAAACATATTTATAAAACCCATTTTAATAGCTAACAGACCAAAATGGAAATCTATTTCTGTTCTTCTTAACTTTAGCATTTGTGATTATTCAACTGCTGAAACATTTTTTTTTCCTTAGAATTCTAGAGGATGTTTTCCTCAATACTAAACCATCGCACTCTCTTTGAGGAAGTTGAAGGATTGGGCAAATTTAACTGATCAGTTCTGTTGAGTTTTTAGTTTATATTTCATTTCTTTTGTCGTGGAAGTGGATTACCAATGTGACATCACCACCCCGCTTCGTGTGGCACTTCATGGCTGTTTTTAAGTTGGTGAGCTCTGAACACAGGAGCAGTATGTTGCTAACACACCTTCACGTCCTTCTCCTGTGTTCTGCCTCTTAGTAATGCTGGTGTGTGCACCTGCATCACCTTCTAAGAGGAAACACACAGGTTCACAGGTGCCTTCTTCTCGCCATACAGGCATCCAGCAATGTAGCACTGAGGAGAGGGGTTAATTTGAAATAGTAGAAGCCCTTTGGGTTTCAGGTCGTTTCAACTTCACAATGTTCTAGGTCTGTTATTGATTTGGGTGAACTCAACTCCCCAAGAAGGATGATGCCAAGGTCATTCTTCTGTGACTAACATCAACAATACAGCTAGGCTGGAAATAAAAATATTTACTGCTACTTTTTAAGAAAGTCTGGGTAGCTCTTTTTTAAACTTATGTTACAAAAGCCGCTGAATTTTTCTATACCCTGATTATGGGTTTTTGAGAGAGAAGTCTTCACGACTGACAAATGAGATCCGACTCACATGTGCAGACCTGCATGCATTCATTGACCGGAGTGATTTGGAGAAGGTAATTCATTCGGTTTTCCCTGACAAAAGACATAATAAGCTAAGAAACTCTCACGGTGCATGTTTCTTTTCCGTCCTGTCTTCAAGCGTGGCATGTAGTGGATGTATGGTTTTCAATCTCTAAAAGATCTCCGGACAGACTGCATGTGCTATCTTACTCATTCTTTTTAGCAGAGCAGCACTTTTTCAGGGAGTTAATATCAAAAAATAATCAAAATTTATTTTTAGAGTAAAAATGCACAATAAATAATTAATAAGAAAAAAATGTTAATCCTCATTCTAGATACACAGAAATATACCAAAACCTTGTTAATAAAGAATTTGCTATGTAGATTAGTTTAATTGGAATATATTTGTTGAGTAAACTAATAATTTAATCTTTCCAAGATAGATCATTCCAGAAAGGCTTTTAGTGCTTAGAGAACATTAATACAGAATATTATCATACATTTACCTTTTCTTTGAAAAATGTACTAATTAAATTTTCCTTTGTTATTATTCCATCTAGAATTTATTAAAATCTATTCAGTAAATAAATTTCTGAATGTGGCACAAAACAGATGTGCCCCCAAGTAAAAACAGAATAATTCAAACATGAGAGCCACTTATTTGTATTAGTGATTATGCTTATAGTGTTAGAAAAAATTTTCAAATAGATAAATTAGTAAAAAACATAATGCAACAATAAAATTTTTTCCATTGAGTTTATTGATACATTTTAGGTATACAGTACGGTTACATTCATCGTTGGGAATTTGTACCTTTACATGATATAGCGTGCTTCGTATTTTTTCCCCATTCCCCTGCCCTCCCTTCATCCCTTCCATCCTTTTCTATTTGCAAAGATTTTGTTTCCATTTTTTCCTTTTCAGCCATAATGAATAAGAAACTAGAGACATTTATAGCTAAAAGGATGCACTTCAAAGCCATACTCTTAAGTGAAATTAATAGGGCACGTGTGTAAATACCAAATAATTAACCTGGTATGAAAAATTAAAGTGTAAATAAGGATTGAAATGTGTAGTTGATAACAGGAAATAGGAAGAAAAGGTCAGAAGGGGTAGGGGAAAGGAAAGAAAGGAAAAGAAAAATATAAGAAAAATTTTAATGGAAAAAAAAGAAGTAATTAAAAAGAAATAATGATACATTACCAAGAGTATTTGATCCAAAACAAATATCTAGCCTAATATTTTTCTAAGGAGTGTCATGGGCAGCACAATATAGAGATATATTATATTATGATTTACTAATATGTGATTTCATCGAGTTCTATAATAAAAAATTGTGAAATTCTGCATGTCTGAGAGTCACAAGGTATACAAACTTTCTGAGAAATTTTATATTCATTAAAACTGCAGATATTTTCACCATTGTAAAATGCACATGACAAAATTGATCATGTCCAAGTGTACAAGTAATTGATATTTGCTACATTTATAATTTGTACAATTGTCACCATCATCTATATAACTTCTCAATCATAAATTTGATTATAAATCAGTTTCCTTCTTTTGACTGTATCTAAAGATATGTTCATGGAAAACTAATCTTATCCTGTCTTCTCTCTTTAAAAAAATATAATCCTTAGAGAAGAAGAGCTCACTTTGAGATTCCATTGCTAGTTGAATCAAAGCTCATACCTCATTTAGAGCCCTCATTTCCAATAATAGGCATTTGCTATTTCAAGATATTTTCCTTTTTTAAAGAAAATGTATGCTCTTTGGTTAACACTACAGTAATCTACAAACAGTATGTTGGCATTTTGACAAGGAGTCAGTGTTAAAACAATTGCCTGTAATTTTGTAAAAATTAATCTTTTATTGCTTTTGAAAGCTCCACTGTACTTGCTTTCTGGTTTTCTTATGAGAATATTCATTTTAAGGTGACTCTTTGATTTATACAATTCTGTTTGTAGGTCTCTTTAGGATCGTGGCTGATAAAACTCCCTACCTTACTATGGGGGAAATTACAAGAACAATCCAGATTGCACCTGGCAGACGAGGGCATCCTTGCTTCTATCACCAGAAAGACATAAACATGGAGACTTTCACTATAAAGCAGGGGGAGCAAATCACACTCAACTCAGTTGAAGACATTAATGGAGAAATAATGGTGAACTGTGGCATAGTAAGGAATCACCAGAATCACTCGTTTACTTTGCCTGTGACTCAAGAAGGAGAATTCTATGAGTGTGAAGATGAACATATTTATACACTAAAAGAGATTGTCGAGTGGAAGATTCCCAAGAACAGAACCCGAACTGTGAAACTTACAGATTTTGCACATAAGTGGGATTCCTCAATTCCATTCCCTGAAGACTTTGATGGTGCACTGATTCTCAAGCCTGTTTATGAAATACAGGGTGTGATGAAATGTAAGTATCCACTCAGAAAGATGTTCTATGAGCTTGAGTAGGATGGGGTTGGGAAAAAGGAAATGTTTTAGAGCCCGAAGAATGTGACTCTGTCCCTGTTACATTCATTGTGTTTTCCAGATGTAAGTTCTTCATCTGCACATAAGCAAGCCACATATCTTTTGCAAGACGCGAATTGAATAGAAACATGTATATATGACTAGTAGAAACTGTGATGTTGTCAAAATATAAGGCACTATGACTATGAGGTCCAGAAAGATTAAAATTCCAATCATTTTTATCACTACTTGTTAAACATGGTTAGAAGAGAGCTCGTTTTTAGACAGAGAAATATTGGGTTAGAAAGAGGTTTTCTTGTATGCGAGTGGTAAGAAAATGTTTCCTGTTGTATTTATTTCTATTAGTGCATGTTTGGAGTACATAATGCTTACATTCCTTGTGTGGAGTTGGTACATGTCCATGATACATCTAAGTTCCTGTTTTCATCCCCTTTCCTCTCCTTTATCTCTTAATCCTCTTTTCATTTGAAAAAGATCTATCTCCTTACTTTCTATTATCTATTTTTATTTTGCTCTTTCTTTGAAATGTGGGTTTCTCGTATGAGTAAAACCATGCAATATTTAAGCTTGTGTATCTGGTTTATTTCACTTAACACTGTGGTCTCAAGGTGCATCCATTTTGCTATGACTGAGTCAAGTCTCTCTTCATGGCAGAGCAGAATATCGTGCTCTCTGCAGCTGCTCATCTATGGTTGGAAATATAGGCTGCATCCAAGATCTAGCTATTATAAATTATGCTGTTACAGCGTGAGTTCTTTTATTGAATTCTTTTAGGACAACTTTTTTCTCCTTCCTCTGCTAGTCATTGCTGGTGAAAATCTCACTGAGCATGCAGTCTATCTGCTTTAAGGAAAATCACATGATAAATTAATATCATATATGAGCGTGTTTAAATGTGCAACCTTCATTGAATTATTTGTACTCTAAATTTGGAATGCATGGAGAGAGAGGTGTTACTCCAAAGATATTAATGCTTTGAATTTTCAAGATTAAGGCACATAAGTAGGAGAACTAGGGAAGCAAAGAGTTCAGAACTTGGACCAACAGAAACAGATTTTAAGTCTTGATCCATAACTTTATACGTAGTGTCACTGAGTGAGCTATTTAAATTACTTTTGTCTATGCAAAGGAGATGATGGTATATCTTTTGCCTACCTCTTAGAGCTGTTTTTGAGAGTGAAGTAAGGTATTATTAAAGCACTATATATAAACTGCTTGAGAACGCAAAACAGTGTGTAACAAGCAATGTGTAAAAATATCTGGCCCAAAAGCACCTCTTTAAATATCTCAAAAAATTTTTTTGTTTCCATTACTATTGTTGGTCATTTAGCAATTATAAAAAAATGATGTGAATTTTTGGTAGGCTTTAGAATTGTGTGTTAAATTGTCACACTAAAATATTTAAGTAGAAATTAGATAAATACATTTTGAACTTAGACATAGTAAACACTCAATTCATGATTTTTAATATTACAAAAAAATGAGGACAGAAAATATTAGACCTAGTATTATATTTTGTAAAATACAATAAAATATTCTATTGTGGTGATTTTTTCTCAGTTTTTATGAATACTAAATAGCATTTTATCACTTTAAAAGCTTTTAGTTTTCTAAAACTATTTATCATCTTCTATCTAATACATGACTGCAAATGAAAGTAAACCCAGAATTTAAGCACATGGGTGAGGTGGTTACAATTGTGAATAAATTTTGATTAGAGACCGAATCTTAGAGGATGATGAGGAGGTGGACATAAGCATACGGGACAGGCTGGGAACAGGATGGGTAGCTTGGGGGCAACAGGTAAGCAACAGATTGGAGCTAGCATGCAGCTGGTAAGAAACAAAATGAAAGGGGAAATTGAGATAAATATGGAAACATGCACAGGAGAATGCCATCAGGTCTCGAAATCTGTTCTAAGAGACTGAATTTGTCCTACTCAAGAGTGGTTATTATGCCAGAAGAGACAGAGAGAGAAGCGTACTGTTGTTAGCTGGGTCTGTGGCAGGACATTGGCAGTGTATACAATGGAGACACCATTGTGAAAGACAGAGATGCACATTTGGGCTTATGAGTATTTAAGACACCTAACCAGCAGGGTTAGAAATCTATTGCAAGTAAAACAAGCCGGCCCTTTGCCCCAGCCTGCTAGTTTGATCAAACTGTTATATGAAGATGCAGTTTAGTAAATATAAACATCAGAAAAACAAGGGTTGTTAAAGGGTTGCTTAAGGAGAGGAAATATAATGTTATGCTAATTGAGATCCCAGATGAAGGCTTCTGGTTGAAATAAAAATTCTTTAATTTTCATTCTTTAATGATATTAAAGTTAAAAATTCATTTTAATTATTCTGGAACTTTAAATTTAGGGGGCTTCTTTTAAATGTTGTTTCTTATTGTGCAGGATTCGGGGAGAAATGCTGAATGAGACTGGCAGCATATGTACTGACTACTGCCTGAAGAATAAATACTCCTTCAACTTTTAAAAATGAAAATATCCATTTTTTAAAATTTTGTGGTATAGATGGGTTTATTTAATATGCAAATGTATGCTACATTTTGAGCTAATTATGTTTTACATCATTCTTTCTTAAGTTGAAGATTCAAACACACTTTGAAATCCAAGAACATTGGGAAGTTGCTTTCCACAGATCTCGTGTATCAGGTGTAGAGTCAATCTGCCTTGGCTTGACAAGAATAAGAATAAAACTGAGAGGGAAGAAATCTTAGGAGAAGCAAAAGATGAAAGTGACTGAGGATTACAGGAAGCTATGAAATATTGATTTGCTCTAAAGAGAACATGGCAAATAAGTCAGAAAATACGATCATCTACTCTTATTGCTAGTTTTTTTTTTTTCTTTTTATTGAGTGTATTGGTACAATCTAGGTATATAATACAGTTACATTCATTACTAGGATCCTGTACCTTCATATGACAGGTCTTGGTTCTCATTTTTTCCCCTTGTCCCTGCCCTCCCTTCACTCCCTCCTCCTCTCCCCATTTACAAACTATTTCCATTTTTTCATTTTCTCATATTTTTTTCTTTTCCCTTATTCCCTTTCCCCTACCCTTCCCGCTTTCTTTATACCTTTAGCCCTTTTCTTCCTATTTCACACTATTAATTATCCCATTAGGAGCTAGTGTACTATTATAGTTTTTCACAACAGAGAAACTATTCAGTGTTTACACATGTGTGACTTATTTCACTTGAGAGTATATCCTCAATAGGTATCCATTTTCCCATGAATGACTCTAATTTCTCATTCTTTATGGCTGAGTAGTATTCCATTTTATAGAAAAACCACGTCTTCTTTATCCAGTTTCCAACAGAGAAAGTGTTTACACATGTGTGACTTATTTCACTTGAGAGTATATCCTCAATAGGTATCCATTTTCCCATGAATGACTCTAATTTCTCATTCTTTATGGCTGAGTAGTATTCCATTTTATAGAAAATAGAAAAAATTTTCTTTTCCCTTATTCCCTTTCCCCTACCCTTCCCGCTTTCTTTATACCTTTAGCCCTTTTCTTCCTATTTCACACTATTAATTATCCCATTAGGAGCTAGTGTACTATTATAGTTTTTCACAACAGAGAAACTATTCAGTGTTTACACATGTGTGACTTATTTCACTTGAGAGTATATCCTCAATAGGTATCCATTTTCCCATGAATGACTCTAATTTCTCATTCTTTATGGCTGAGTAGTATTCCATTTTATAGAAAAACCACGTCTTCTTTATCCAGTTTCCAACAGATGGGCAAATGGGCTGTTTCCAAGTTTTAGCTATTACAAACTGTGCCGCTATAAACATTGGTGTGCATATATCACTGTGGTATGATTCTTTTAATTCTTTTGGAAAGATACCCAGCAGAGGGATGGCTGGTTCAAATGGAACCTCTAGTCCCAGCTCTTTAAGATATCTCCATATTGATTTCCATAGTGGTTGCACCAGTCTGCACTCCCACCAACAACAGAGAAGGGTTCCTTTCTCCCCACAACCCCACCAACATTTGTTATTGTGTTAGCTTTTAATATGCTACTAATGTGACAAGTTAGCCTCCATTTAAAAAGAAACAGAACTGTTTGAATGAACTATTTGTTACTCAGATCTTGATCTAATCCTATTATAGGTCAGAAACCCCACTAACCCTCATCCCATATTTAGTCATTTTTTTTTAAAAGAATGTTGCTTCTCCAGAAAACAGATACAAGTGACAAACTAACACCCTTGCCTATTGGTCTCATGAGTCATTTTGTGACATTTGTGCTTTTCACAGGAAGATGAAATTCACATTCCTATAGCAAATGGAGTGGGTAATATTTGCAGTTATAATATAGATCAATTATTTTAATTGCTTCATAAAAAATATCTTGGCTATTAAGACTTTTTGAGTGGTGTTAAGTTTTGGTGTATTGATTGATAATTAGTTCCAGAATTTTTTGGTATTATACAACTTTTTTCCTTTTCTTTTAGGAGAAAAACCTCAATTATATTCAAAACTTAGGAATATTGCTCAGCTATAGAAAATACTAAATCATTTTATAAGCAGAGGGCTAAAAAAAATCACACAAATGAGAAGCAGATTCAGAAAGGTAGTATTTAAATATTACATATTAGGTAATTATTCAATAATAGAAAATATTTTGGTTTTAGTATTCTAAGACTTCTTTTTCATCTTATTTTTAAAGAAATAATTTCAACATTTATCAAAACAAAAAGGCAAATGTTAGTGAAATGATTTTTTAACAAAGTTGTCCTCAAATCTTGTGCCTTTGACCATTCACAACTTTTCCCCAGTTTGTGCTACTCCAAGGTAACTCCTTTTAATTTTTTTCCCGATACTTTCTAGTATTTGCATTCAAATTTCTGAGTAATGGGACTTTCTCAAATCATGGACTTTGGTAGTAACTGCTGACTTTCCCACATGACCAGGAA